AGAATCGAACCCGCGACCTGTTGATTATAGACATACATTGTTAACATTATACCAACGAACCCGTCGAAAAATCACATCACCAAACCAAAATATGTTATTACAATGAATGCACAAGATTCTGCATTCTCATTAAGAGTAGTCATAAATGAGCATTAAACTATCAACACTACGCGATCGCTGTACAGTCGATAGACAAAGTTTCCTATGATTCGTGGCCGAGAAAAAAAGAACCGTTTATTGATTTAAAGTCGTAGATGCTAGATAACTTAATGCCGCCGGGAATCAAACCGCGGCCATTGCCTTTCCACACTGACCCATAAATATCAAAGTTCTTGTTCGATAATCCTTTTTTTTATGATAGAGAATCGATACATAACATCCAAACAATATTTTACTTTAGTTATTCCACAAAATTTGAAATCCACAGACTGAAACTAAAACCCAATTAAACTTCACGGATTTTACATCTATAGACGAGTGGTTTGTCGAAACCAGGATAAATAACAAAACAACTAACTGTAACTAATTTCTTGTTAATTATTATTGATTTTGTATATCTGCTAACGATGGTTATGTTATTAAAGGCGACATTATTTTGAAGAATGAAATATTTGTTACAAAAAGAAAAATAAAATATGTAGGTAGTTAGGGCGCTTAAAAAAGTCCGACGTTTATAAACAATGTTCAAATATTCCAACCGAATCAGACGTCAGCTGTTCCATACTAAAATATTAGTATTACTCTATTTATCATAAGAATTCGAGGCGCGCCAGGAATCTCTCCCCAACGAGCTCTCAGCGTTTTGGAATTTCATTAAATTTCGGAAGCCGGTCTATTGAATATCCACTTTTTCATGTCCGATCGATTTATCCCGCCTATTAATTAAATACTCCAATTTAAATGATTTTTGTATACCGCGTATAGGAAGTTATCAAGATCAGGCGTCGGTCGCTTTGAGGCAGGCAGAGCAGAAAATGTGGAAAATTTAGAGAACACATATTTTATCTTATAGACTAACAAAATCAAAACCCTAGGACACTGTGTGCTCTCCATAACTTAAGTATTGTAGCATACACTTCAATAAAACACTCTTAATGGTTTAAACTCATTTACAATTTATTTTAACTTCGGACCGAAGTTTCAGATGCTTCGCAGGATCTGTGGTCACAGTGGGACGGAAGATGGAGGGTCTCCCTAAGACGCTGTGACTCTATAATATTAAAATACGTAATTAGAGAAACGGTTTATGTCCAAAATCTTAAACGTACGAGCTTTGGTCCTGGTTGGGATACAACTTTCTGTTCTCTTGTTCTAACAATAGTCTTACTATTGTTTTATTATATTTTTTTACTTAAAAGCTACAAACGTAATTTAGTATTAAATTTTAAGTTATTCTAATACATATCTTCGCATATATCTTGTAAATACACGTCCCTACAAGATCCCCTAGATAGTAAACATTAACATGTGACAATTATAACTATTTCAGAGTAACAACAAAAACAAAAACCATTTATAGGATCACATTCTTTATCATTCTAAAGCTGCACCGTTTGTATTTTTCTAGCTGATATAAGGGCAGCAAGCAGATCGGTACTAAAATACCGATAACTTATCACTTACCAGCAGAAGTCCTCCTCTAGGATGGATCCGTAACAGCTTATTATGGTCGCACCCTTACACAATAATAGCGGAAGTAGAACTAGTCGTGATTTATTTCGTTTTTCAACACCAGGATTAATTAGTTAAATTTATTATGAGGAACTCGCGTGTAATTAGTGCTTTTAGGCATTTTGATTGCACCCAGTTCACGCTATACAAAGAAATCTGATGTAGACGCTGTTTTAGATAACATTCTTTCTCAGTCTATTAACATATTTCAGTGATTCTTGATAAGACGATTTCACTTTTCGAATATGAAACTTTAGGTTATGTTAGGCACTGGCTATGTTGTTTGGAAGAAAAAAGGTGGCTAAAACTTTCGCCTTATCCTAGTAGACCTTATGCAAAAAAGAGAAAGAGATGCAAAGAAGAGTTTGTTTGTTTGAACGCGCTTATCTCAGGAAGTACGGATTCGAATTGAGAAAATATTTTTGTATTGATTAGACCATTTATCGAGGAAGGTTATAGGCTATAACACATTACGATGTGACTAATAGGAGTAAAGATACAGCGAGAAGTGTGAACAAAACGGGGGAAAATTTTCATCTCTGTAGGTTTTAGATGCGTACGCTGCGAAAACGGTTCAAGATATCTAAAAATTGTGTATGAAAGAATGATTCCCCTTTAAATGATCTAAAAAAGTTCACGGCGTTATATATATGTCTATCTTTTAAGATTAACTCGCAAGAACGACGGGAAGGGACACGATCGACGTGGTGGCTAACAGCTTAAGTTTATAAAGATGACGGGGTTTGCAAAAACTTATTTGGATGCCCAAAATAACGATTCTCGCGGACGAATTCGCTGGCGCAGCTAGTGTTTAATGTGTGTCAGAACAGAGGTAGGTACCTAAACACCGTTTTTAGATTTTGAGTTATAATTATTTTATTAAGACAGTTTTATGCAGTTAATAGTCTGAAAATGTTAATATTTTTCACGTAATCGCATTAATTGCACATAATGGCACTACATAATTTAAAACAAAACATAAATAAATTGAAAAAAAAAGTACATATTTTTTAAGAGGCAAGTTCACACATAAAATTTACACATAAAACCAAATCTTAGATCTGTTTTGGGGCATGGGGCGTCCACATTTCTGAGTGTGCTTTATCATAAGCAAGAACGATTTTATTTACACGCACATTACAAGACCCTGTGTGTGACCAACCGGAATAATTTATTTCTTTCTCTGGTTTTCAACGTATGACTTCTCGCCTTTGTTGCAATGCTAGGCAACATGTTAAAACATTGAGCTATGGAGACGAATAACAGAAAATGATAACGAGTATTGGACGATAGTCAGTGAGATTTTGACGATGTGTTTTAACTTTTTACGACCTAAGAATTTGTACTCTATTAAAAGCCTTATCACCCGAAGATAAGGGCGTTTGACGATCTTTGTAGGGTAATTAAATTCGATGGGCCCGTCTGTAGGTCCGATCGCTACCGAATGTTCCTAATTAATAAAAAGCTAACGACGCTTTGAGATTGGATTTCGTGATATGCTGTGGTTATATTTAACTAGAAATAAAGGTTCTGTATAAATTGTCTAAGAGACAAGCTGTATTGCTTTTTACCTTTATTGTTTTACGGGTTACATGGTCTAATGGCACCAACGTACTGTTATAAGAAATGGGTTATAGATTCGATCTCCAACACGTCTAGCTGTTTCTAATGGTTTTATAGTTTTTCTGAAATATGTAAGTCTTCGCCTAGAAAATTTGGTAGAAATATATGATAGGACTCAGTGGATTGAAGATTGTCTAAAGCAACATATGGGCGACAGCACATCTAAGTAGTTTAGATCTTACCAGGCTGGTGTATTATACGTTAGTTCCTTTCAGTGAACAACATGGTTATCTGTCTTACTCTGTCAAAGGCTATACTAAAAATATTTTAATTTTTAATATCGAAACTTTGCCAGCTTTCAAATTTAAATACTTTTTTGTTAATAAAAATAGGGTTTAACTAACAATTTCCCAGACATTATGAATTTCTGACTTCTGTTGGAATCGGACTTATGGTCTCAGAGAATATGGAGTTTAGACAAACACACATTTAAACAAAAGTAAAATGTATTAATGACACAAAAGCAAAATAATATCAGACTACGTTAGATTCTTTTATTATTTAGTAGTTAAATATTTTGAAATTAACTTCAGATACTTATTATGTACGTAACATGTTATCAGCAGTTAAGCGGCGAGTGTTAAAACATACTAAAGAATAGCATTTTTATTATAATATCTTATCTTTACTTTTTTTTTTTTTTATTAATTAGGTAGTACATTTTACTTTTCAAAAACAAGCGAACTAATATATTTCGGATTTTAAGCCCTTGTATTATTTTAATGTTTATTACTCGGGTAACGTACGGACACACTTGCTTAATCAAATATTAAATGTAGATATATACTTAGTTATGTTATGCTGAGTGGCTCATGTTGTATAAGCTGCTATAGTTTCAATTTAAAATGTATATCTCAAAATAAACCTAAGTATAGGTAATAAGTTGAATTAGTTCATAGCTTTTGTAACCTTAAAATAAAATGTTTTTTTTATTTTATTATAATGTTATGTATTAACATAAAACAAGCTATATCGTTCACATAAAATGTTAGGTATTCATTGAGAAAAGTGATCGCCGCATTCGAGTGTACAAATCGTCAGGTATGTTGATATGAAGTGAGGAATTTTTGAGATATTTAGCATATTATTTAAATATGTAAACAAGATGCGGCCTCGGTGGGTGAGACTGCTCGGCGCGTCTTATTGGCATTCCGCTCGCGACATTCTAATAATCCCGATGATTGCACGTTGCGGCTTAAGGTTCTTTTGTTCTTCGTCTTCTTCTTCATTTGTAAGCATTCAAGTCCACGTTTGTCCACGTTATGTCTCTCTATAGAGAGATTTTGCTCGAATTCAATATTAGAATGTTGAAATAGAAATAATAGTATCTGAATAGAAGCCTCTAATCTCTTTATCTATAAGTATATGTAAATATTCAGAAGTGACTAAAACTGTCGAACTCGTCTAGATAGATTTTATAGATGACCTAACAATGGAATCGCAATTCCAACACTCCTCCCAAACACGCAGAGAACAACTTTCGTTTTTTTTTTCAAAAAAATTTCTCAGCCGTAACTTTTTCCTCCAATCAGTAGAAGTCAGGTGCAATTTTCCCCAAACCCCGGCGCAAAAAGAGCGTCTCTTCCCAGAAGGGGCCACGTCGTGACTCGCGTCCCTCACTTTATGGGCCCGAGCTGTTCTTAAATCGCTAGTGTTTATGTTAATAGTGGATAATTGAGCCGCTCATAAGTCACGGCTGCCGCAAGATGGCTGCAGAGGCCGTAATTGCGTTCGCGGAACCGCACCGCCTTCGCGCTGCGAACACAAAAACCGAGCCAATTACCCCCGGTGCGGGACCCTTCGAGGGGACACGCCCAGCGCGGTCGCCCCTGGGTTGCCAGGCTTCAACATCACGTATTTGCGCTATTAGATGTAGTTTTTCTCAATATATCTTTGATAATAAAAACAGACAAAAACTTTCTATGTTATTGTGGTTCTATAATATCTTTTTTTACAATGAAAACTTTTATAATTAAAATAGGATAAACAACTATTTTATAATATACAACTATACTATTAAATTGTACCTAAGTGTCCCTAAGTATTGTACAACGATAATGACATATACATACATAAAGATATAATCAATTTGTTGTAATAATCCTTTACTGAAATAAATATGTATTAAACTTTAGTAATTGTCTAAATGAATGTTCTGTAAGACGGTTTTAACATCCTGTCCATATATTTTAATATCTTATATAGAATGATATTAAAAATTATCTTTAATTATTTTTTCCTAAATCTAGGGAGTGTTGAAATCGTTCGATAACTTGCAACACCAAAGGCAGTAGCCGCGGGATTCGCAGTAGTATCCATTACACGCGGAGCGGGAGGGGGGCGCTGCCCGGTACAACAACAAACGCGCCGACTGTTTTGTGCCTGCGAACGATCGACAAACGTTCCGCCACCGGCTTTTTTTGTGGCCGAATATGAAATCGCTCGCATTCCCATCGCCGATCAAGACCTCGCTCTAATTTACTTGAATAATAAATAAATGGAACCGACTGTGCAGGGCGTATTATGCTTTCGGGATTACGTTTCGTAAAGGTCGTAATTTAAGTAATACCAACTATAGTAGCAGATTTTACTTTGACATTAGGGATACCCTCCATCTTCAGTCCCGCCGTGACCACGGTTGCTAAAAAGCACCCGAAACCCGTTTTTGGTAACTAAATAAGTTTCGATAAATTTTAAACATTAAGAAAAATAGTAGGTATCTTTGCAACTGCACAGATCATTGCACGTGACAAGAGAGAAATAGTTTTTTTTTAATAATAAAATTCAGGTAATCGTACAGACTCTACGATTCGTTGTCTCTGTAAGGAACTAAAGCATTTCAAAGAACGTGAAGTGAACCTGTCATTACCGATTATTTCAGTTTACATAATGCTAAAGAGTAACTGGAATATTCCTCAACGTCTCAGTAATGCAATGTAATGCTTTATTAATACACTCGTTTGGTAACCTGCCCTGCGGTAGTCGGCTGCGGCTAATGCGAGGAATCGTACTCTACACTAAACGACGTGAAATTTGAAATACATTTAAAACAAATTGTAACTAGGTTAACATTTATACTATATCGACTTTTAAACCGTTTAAATGTTTATTTAATATTATTCAAGCTTAATATTGAAACCAGTTTATTTAGAAATAACTAATGTATTTAGAAATCATATTTATAATACAGGTATGGCTAAGTACATTTTTTATTTGCTTTTTGCTTCATGATAAGTAACTATGTCAATACTGTGTTGTTAATTTAAAAAAAAAAATTGAATGATTTTGCACAGCAGTCAATGCAAATGGCGATATTTTTAACGACTAAATACACATAAAAATATTAGAGGTCAAAGTAAAAAAACCTGCCATCGTAGTTTTTGTTTGACGAAATTTCTCGGTACGCTATTCTTTAGAATCCTAAGCGTCAGGCTGTAGTTAAAATAAATTGTAAATAAGTTCAAGTAACATATTTCGCGACTGAACCGTTACAAGTATTTCATTACAAAAGACCAAACTCCCCGATCTGCCCGCAGCATGTCCATATAGCTGCGTTATGGATGCCAGGCGCGCCGATGTCCGCTCGCCATCTAAGACGAGGCCCGCTCCTCAATGGACGACTAAATGCGATGATGCTCATATGTAACATATTACATTGTATCTCGCAACTAATTAAGCCTTATTATTTCATAATTAAAATACTCTTCCTATATTATTTCCTGCAATATTTCTTTTGCAGAGTACCTACCCTTAACTAACTCCACTTAAACAAGTGGGCCTTATGTATTTGAATATTCTAAAATCGGCCTGTAGTTGTCTTATAAAGTGAAACATTGTCTGTAGTATTCCCTTTGCCATCGGAGATCTCTTTCTCTCCCCGTTACCACGGCTGCTGCAAAGCATCCGAAACGTCGGGCCGAAGTTAAAAATCATTTTCAAATAAGTTTAACTAATATATCGCGTTTTAAAACGTTAAAGTGTTTTACTCGCGTAAATTATAGACAGTATTTCATTAATCGATCATTAACTCGACGCCTTCTCTCTCAAATAGGAACTGGGTTAACGCTGCAATTGCGTAGCGAAACCCAAAAAGACAATCGGCCGATGAGCTGGGACTGCTGGAAGTAGGCTGTGTCTACCCATATATTTACATTAGCTCTTTTGATAGTTCTGATAGAACCTTAAAAGGTATTATCGGAAACTATACTAGTATTATAAAGGTGAAGAGTTTGTTTGTCTGGACGCGCTAATCACAGGAACTACTGGTTAGAATTAAAAATAAATAAATTAAAATAAAACACTTTAACGGTTTAAAACGCGATATATTAGTCACATCACCACCCCAGCCAACTTAGTTCTGTCGGAGTATCTTTGTTTCAGAGAGCCCGCCGTCTCTGTGATGCTGCCCACTTAAATGAGGAGTAACAGCATGTCAAGCAGGTGCTATGCAAGAACAAGCAGAGAGTCCCTCCGCAGCATCCCAGGAACAGGAACAAGCCACCCACAGTCAAACGTCAGCCCGCCTACCTACCATATGTGAAGGGAGTTACAGATAGAATTAGCAGAGTCCTAAATCGAGCTTCTATTGACACAACAAGTGTTTTATTTGAATGTGTACTACTCGCGTAAACTATAGACAGTATTTAATAAATAAATTATTCAATTTTAAACTTTCCTGCTTGCATGCTGCGAAAACGGTTCAAAAAATACGTATGAGAGAGTTATTTCTCTTAACACTTAAAAAATCTATTAAGATTTATTTGAAACGACGGAACGGGGACGACATCGTAGGCAACAGCTACAAAGTTTGCAAAAATATTTTTGATGCCCGAAATAACTATTCCATGCGGACGAAGTCGCGGTCACCGCTAGTTATTATTTCACAAGATAGTTGATTTGTGATTTGATATTAAACGGATATATCGGCATGAAATCTAGCAATTTATTTACTTGCTTAGCTAACTCTTACTGGTCCCGTGAACAAAAGGATTGAATAAATATTGTTCGCGTAGTACTGGTTGGTAAAAGCAATACAAGAACCCAATGAAGCAGAGAAGCGTTCCCAGTTTATTTCTGCAGCACCTCGTCAGAAGCTTAATGAAATAGCTTTAAATTATTACGATCGAGCGGTCACTTTGTTCACTAACTTTTTGATTGTGCGCTTATTTTGCATTCGCTCATTGCCAAATGCGCTTTCAATCAGTTCAATTCAATTAGCTGAACAAGTTCTAATTATGTTAAGATTACTAATATCCTCAATTAAGTTAGGAAAATTAAATTTAAGTATACACACTAATTAAATAAAAATATAGGTTTTGCGATGTTTTCATGAGATGGCGAATCTTGTAGGTATTTATGTATTTATTTAATAAGGCTTCCTAACTAGGTACACAAACAAACTACTTAAGCTAATTAAAGTAAGAATAATTCTTATGTACCTAAGTAAGTATGCACAGCATGTATATGTGACTTGTTACGTTACTAAGTCTACCCGTGTAAAATGTGCACATTTTCACGAACCCTGACCCACTGAAAGTTCAAAGGTAACAACAAACAAGCAGAGTGAATACGTCAACTAGAAGTAAATTCTATAACGTGAACCCCGATCGTTAAATTTCGGACTAGGACAACATGAGATACCAAGTGGAAAAGCAATGTCTCCAATAGTGCCGATAGCACAAACTCGAGCAATCTCTACAATGATGTGTCGACGGCTCGCTTACCTTGTAATGTACGTTCTCGGCTCGCGAGGAATCTGTTACCCCGTACCTGATAGGGTTACGTCACAGCCGCCTCTGTACCAGTGGAGATGGTGCGGTGGGCGTGGCTACGTTCTCCGCCCACTATTCCACTCACAGAGGCAAACGGTGGTGAGATGCCATAGTAGAACTAGCAGTGGATTATTTAACGAAAACGAAGTAAACTTATGAAGTAAATATCTTAGTCTATATCGAGATGGTATGTCTGTTGATTTCCTATTGTGTGAAAAATGATTATATCTTATGTATGCTCGCTCGCTATATTGTTTATAAAATATAGCGAGTCTTGGTTTAAGGTTAATTACTACCGTAAAACAACATAGTATTATTTAAATAGTGTAAGTTATTGTCGAAAATGTTGTTTTAGTATAAGGCAGGACATGAAGTTCACTTCCAAGATCCATACAAGATGTGCTGTGTGATCTATTTTGACTTGGGATAATCGGAAATCCACAGACTGAAACCGAAAATCGGAAGAAAAGATTTCCAGAAGAAGTCCAACATGTTTCAGAAAAATTATAACTCAATTACAAAAATGTTGCACCCTGTGGAGATCGAACCCGAAGCCTATTCATTATGAGCCAGACATTGCTACCACTACACCAACGATCCCGTCGAGAAAACGAATTTATTAAGAGTTTTAGCATAGTTTAGTACCTGACGATATCTTTAAAATCTAACTAAGTCTATCGTATTGTTTAAGTAACATTTATCTTACGTGCCCCTAAATAAGGATGTCAGCTGACAAGCAGTTTCCAGTGTCCACTAGAAACTACTAAGTACCGAGTATCTCCTAATTATGTTAGTAGAGTAAAATTCACATTTATGCGATACGGGCACTTAGCAATTTTAATTCCACTGTTGACAAGTGCTAACCACAATATGCATCAGTAATGCTGTACAGAGTGCAACGCAAAATCGTTCTTAAATCGATTGAAATAACGCACACATTTCATTGTAAATATATAAATATATGCCATTCATAGATGCGGGTACGATATGATATGATGCACTGTGCAAAATTTATTCATTGATAATAATGGTGTAATAATTGTAAGGATTACTCCACGCTAAAGAAATTAACGTGCTTTAAAATACTTCTCAAAACATACTTTTCTATACAATAAATATGTTTAATAAGGATAAATATTTTGCGACACGGTTCACTAGTTACGTGTTTCATAGCCTTTCTGTACCACATCTAAACAACATGCGATATCGCCCTATCTTAGCTCTGGATATTTATGACTCTACAAGCAAAATGACACGCGGTTTTACGAGATCTTATTTTGTGAAAAATAGCCCCACACCGAATTTCGTCATCCCACCTATAAAATAAGTATCTTTTATTTGAATAGTGACTTACCTACGTATTCTTTAGATTGAAAAAAATATTTTTTTAACAAATACTGTCTGTAGTTTACACGAGTAGTAAACATTTAAATGAAACACTAACAATTTTGTAAACAAGTTCAACTGATATATTCGCGTTTTAAGCCGTTAAATATAAATACCTCCTAATGGCGTAAAAAGTGCACACATAAAACAATTTATTGCCATGTAAAGACCTGAGTATTAGAATATATGGCACAAGGTTCAGATCTCCCCGTAAAGTCACATTATTTATTGTCGTGCCACTCCCTCGCCCCAATCATATATCATGCAACAAACAGACATTGACTTTAATTAATTTCTGTATTCTTTATTTGTGTTATGCCAGGTGATGGCTTGAAGAGAAAAATATCTTTGCTTCTTAAGTAACTCACTAGAGACGCTCTAGCACAGTTTTAAAAGATTAAAATAATAATGTCTACATCTTTGTCTATTAATATTTTTGAAATAAAGTTTTTTAATTTATGCCTCTTGGGTTTTAATAACTATACAACATATAGGTGCATAGTGTTCTAGCTTCTAAATTCTTTATAATTATGTACACATATTTATTTCATGGACTATCTCTGACTCTATACGGTGTTAAATTATAAGAAATAACGTAAAATAATTTTGATCATAAACATTAAAGTAAAAATTAATTGACCTTTTATTTAAATAAAAATACGCTTTTAACAATACAACTAAGTGTGAAATGACATACCTGCCATTTCTCAATTTCTATAACATTAAATGTTGTAATGTAATATGCTTTATTATATAACTGAAACTGAATAAAACCTTATTATATATATTACAGTAGTTAGCAGTATGATTGTTAAATTCAATCAAGACAAATCAATGCAAACACAAACAAAGTTGGCTAATTACTAACTCATCCTAACGAGCAGCGAACATAATACATTTGCAACACATGTAGAAGATTAAAGATATCTTTCGAGTGACAATGCGTTTATATTCGAATCGGGAAGCATCGGCCGGCGAGCGGGGGAGGAGGGGAGGATTTATGCGCGCGACATCGCGAGATTTATCGGCGCGTGCGCATACAATCGTATGTACGCCCATTGATGCCGAGATTAAGGTGTCGACAAGGTAATTTTGGGATATGCAAAGCGTTTTATGCTACCGACGTCGCGCACATTTGGCCGGCTATTAAATTTATTAATGTAGATTCGTTGAAGAGAAAACTATTACATCAGCAATAGATGTAAATGCTATAATCGTATAGAGAAATTGTATTATTACGTGTAGTGGGCATTTTATTGTGTGGTCGCAAATTTGACACCCGGCTGTTCATCCCACATATTTCATATCTTCCCTTAGGTTATCGTAAAGAATGGGAAATCTAAAAGGAGACGACATCAACGAATGACGGTTAACAAGCATTTGGCAACATAGTACCGGTTTTAATTGTTTTGGAAAAACGCAAAACTACAACTATTTCGATCATACATAAAAACGGCAATTAGTCTTTATGATCTGATGAACATTTAAATTAACTTATGGCCTAGACTCCAAATTGACTGCGGAATGATGTTTTTCCGTTTCAGACAACCTTCTTTAATCTCACAGTTGAAGTAGTAAGATCCACATTAATGTTTTAATTATTATTGGGTAGCACCGACTTATGGAAGTTATTGAGTGTGGTCAGTTACTACTTGTTTATAATATTTGTATGACCTTTAAAAATAGCTTTGTCAACAAGTTTGTTTTTTTACAGAAGAGAACACACAAGCATGGAATTCCCTCGATGGAAGATGAAATATGTATGTAGTATGTAAGTAAACAAGATGCATCGTCCATTCTAGCGTTGGACATTCGGAAATTCACAAGCGAAAACCGAAACGTTACAACGCTTTCCATCTTTTTTATCTGTCGACGGTGGTTCGTGACCCGGATGGAATTTCGCAACTCCTAACATTTAGTATTTAGTTTGGCTTAGTGGTTATTGAAGGCATGACCCGTCGCTTAAACCATAGCACTAGCGAGCAATTTTTACATGTGGTCTTTATCAAACACAGGATAGCAATATATTAACGTAAAAAATATAATTAAATAAATAAAATACGACGCGGGCGAAATTTGAACCGACGTCCACAGCGTTCCGTGCTGCTGCTTTATCCAATTGAGCTACCGTGTCACCTTGGTTAAAGTAGCAGCACGCTGTGCATGGCGGCTCTAGTCCCGCCCGTGAGTATTTTTTTCATTCTAAATAGAATGTTAATTTGTGTTTACTCCTTACGCACTGCCGTCCCTTTGATGCTCCGACAGCGGTATCAGAGCCATAGATCTAGTTTTAGCGCGAATAAGCCAGCTCGCGTCTAATCAATCAATCAACAGCACACTTGCGCCGATTACTCTCGATAACTCCTCACAATAAACAGCTCAGCGAAAGCCCTGGACGTTTCCTGCATTTACTTTAATTTATTTTGCCGTCGCGAGGGTGTGGCTCATCGTAAATATGTCACGTGCGGGACCCGACCGCTGGCCTATCTACCTAATACGGACAAGTAAGTATTGGCTCCGAAGACGCGACGTGTTAAGTCTTAAAAGAGTAAGAATGCTTTAGTTAACATCGATACTTATTCGTAAAAACAAAACATGTGTCTAACTAGATTCTATTCTCTAAGTACGCACCCTTGGTCTAGCGGCCGACTCCTGAATCACGTACACTATTGTGGTGCGTCTGTCTGTACCGTAATTGGTATTAAGAGCGTCCAACACACAACAACAACAAAACAATATAACACTAACGCCACTGATTACAACCACATATTACACTGATATTGGGAAACCTAATTACAATTTCGCTCTACAGCTCGCGTAAACTATTACAAACAATTTTATATTAGTAACTAGCGGCCCGTCCCGGCTTCGCACGGGTCTATATATAGAAATATATAGGTACAGATAGTTATAAGCACGATAATTAAAACGACCATGAATCACTAAATTCGAAAAAAAAATTGTATTGCGCGTTTCTTCAAGTCGCTGCCAACGCTCAACGCTTGACTGTCATTCGTATAGCTGAGACGATCTTGCATTTAGTTCTGCAAGACGAACTGAACATTCGACGATTCGTTCGATTCTCTGGCTCGCGATGGGCTGGCTTTCCAGACGATCTTTTTCAGAAGAAGACTCTCTAATACGACGAACTTTTGCTAATTTCGTTTGGGAACTATTCTTAGATAGCTGCCTTCTTCTTCTAGGCATATTGCTATGAAGGATATTTATTTTAAATCAGAGAAATTAAGAATAAACTAATAATAATACAAAAGAAAATATTCAAGTTCAAAGGGATAAGTTCTGAAAAGAACTTTGACAAATGTTATTCAAAGTGAAAGCTCTGAAAAGAACGTTTTAAGTAAAGCATAAAAATGTTACAAAACACTCGAAATGATGACACGACATGATATCTTTTGAATGGAATGTCCGATTTCAATTATTAAAAGAGTAATCGACAGGTATTGAGACAGTCTTGAATATTAAATTGGATAACACGGTTTAATTTTGTTCGGCATTTCTATCAATTTGTTAAATGTAAAATAGTAGACAGACATATTATTGTCTTGCGATGTTTTTTGTAGATTTCTCGCTGTATCTTCACTCCTATTAGTCACATCGCAATGTGTTACAGCCTATAACTTTCCTTGATAAATGCTCTAATCAACACAAAAAGATTTTTTCAATTCGAACCCGCACTTCCTGAGATTAGCGCGTTGAATCAAACAAACAAACAAACTCTTCAGCTTTTTATATTAGTATAGATTAATGTTAGTATAGACGTACAAACCAATTACTGAAGAAGGACAAAGATTAAGTTAATAAACTGTATAAAGCCAACAAACAATGATATGCTGAAAAATCAAGCGAGTAGATAGGATTTAAACCACCATGACCATGAATGCTTAAAGCATTTGAAATGTTAGGCGTAGACATAAATAAAATAACTTTTAAACGGTAAAAAAGTGTTATCCTAAGATATATTCTATACTTTAATAAAATCCCCAGCGAAGTGCAAGCACTCTCAATAAATAAGTTTAAATCGTATGTAAAACAAAAACTCCTTGAAAATGGTTATTATCACTAATAAATATTTAAATGATAAAAATGCTTAGGATGTGGAGGAACCCGCTTTTACAAGGTAAAATAATTACTGCACTAAAATTAAATCGAGAATGTAAAACTTGGGGATAAACGGAGTGACGGCGAGTTTATTGCCAGTTCTTCTCGTTCGTTCTACGCCCTTGATTTGAGAACTGGTAGTAAATGTAAAGTTAGGTTCTTTCGTTTTGTGACGTTCATAAGTGTACATAGCTACCTACATCAATAAATGATTTTTGACTTTTGACTTTGACTGTATAGAAAAGGGAAGGTTTAATTTAAAAATCGAAAATAAATTGAAAAAATTTTGAGCTACCGAGCCACAGTGACTCGATAGCTCAATTCGTAGAGCAACAGCACGGAACGCTGACGATGCCGACTCAAGTCCTGCCCGAGTCGAAATTTTTTTCAATTTATTTTCGATTTTTAAATTATATAGGGCCTTCATGTGCAATAACGTGTAAAAAAAAAATAAAGTTTTCAAATCGAAGGTTTGTGAAGTAAATATTTCTTTAGCACCGTATTGAATTTTTTTAAATAAGTAAAAGAACAATTTGCGTCAGGACACACCTGGTGGAAAATTCATGAGGCAAAGGGAGACTTGAGTAGAGAATAAGGCATAAAATAAAACTTGTATTTTACCACATAAATAACAGTAGGTACTTTTATATCTAGTTAAAGCAAATCGTGTTAGATTATTGCGTAGTAATTACAATATATTTCACACTTCTATCGGAACTATCATAGAGCAATCTGTATTTTTTATGTACCTAGAGGTCAACAGCGCAGCTTGTTGAGATTTTGTAGGACTGGGGTTTTCGCCTTCTATCAAGGGTTCTATCAATTCTTGTCTCTCTCTATCATAAAAAAGGCCCTTTTCTTAAATTTTCAACGGCGCAGCACTCACAAGTTCCGCGCCAATTAAATCCCGTTTGAGTCGTATTTATTACAAGACTGTCTCCAATTACAGTAAATCTAACGTGGACACGTTCATTTAGCGTCGTCGGGCGCAAAGTATGAATACTAAAGATTAATACACATCGGCGACGCGCCGAGCGGCACTTCAAAGGCTGACATTAGCGAGCCTTCGCTTAGATCGCTAGCGTCCGCATTACGGGGCAAAAAAAATTTCTGCATTCGGTCGAATCAAAATACAGCTATTAAATTATGTACAGGGAAGGTTAATAATTATAGGGTCTTTAAGATTTAATAACCATATTTTTACTTATAAGGAGTACGAGTTACTTAGAAGAGAAAAGTACAACATACAAATAATAACTTTTTCTATGTAACGATGTTAAACAGTAAAAATATATTTAACAAACATCTTAAAAGGTTGAAAACGAGAAATAAATAGACGCTGTAAGTACTTAGTTAACATAAAGTAACAATAACTGACTTATTATATTTTTAATGGTTTAAAACGCGTTTTAAACCATTAAAAGTGTTTTATTTACATGTGTACTATTTAAGACAATTCTTGACAAAAATAAGATCAAATTACCTAAATCGATCATTGTAACTGTAACTTAAAATTGCCTTATTGTAGGTAGTCTAGTCCTTAGTTCAGTTAACTAAACTGAACTCTTAATTTTTTTATATGGACATACAATATAGGTAATAAATACAATTTAAATCTAAGTACTACATACTGGTTTCTTTTGCAATATTCTGTAGCCATAAAGTGACCCTATGCTTGTCTATCAACAAAAAAATATTTAATATTTGAAAAGACTTCTGCCGGACCGAAGCAATTTATCGCGTCAAGCGGGTTTCGAACTTTGCACCTCTCTTACGTAACACAATGAAATACTTTCGGAGGCGAATCTATCGGTATGTCTTTACGTCATAAGATGTTTTAATAATGATAAAGGATCATCTCAGTTGAAATAGCTTATCGACGCTGTCGGGCATATTTTTGCTACGGCTATTCGGAAATCTACAGACTGAATCGAATTTTTTATCTGTCGACGGTAATTGTTGACCGGGACCGAATTTTACACTCAACCTACCACCCATCTAATATCCAGATTTCCAAACGAAGCCATGGTCACCACCGGGTCAACAGGTTTCATAAAAATGTTGGCATCGCTACCATTTTACCAAGGAGCACGTCAGAATATTATGTTGTGTGCAGTTTTATGTACCTACCTATGTATTGTTGAGAGGAGCCGTAGTTTCAATGAGACAATGAACGATTACTAAACGTTTCAACTATCCGTATCCAATAGAGAATTCGCACAATGTGCTATTACGCATTCTTCGCCCAAACGGAGGACTTGGCATATGCTATGCGGATTGTTCTGCATATGCTGAATTGTTAGCGAAGGTCTAAGAAACGGTTTCTCTTTCACTATTGTATGTAATAGGTGAACTTAATTACGTAGTTTATATAATTAGTGTATATATTATTTCGCGTTTGAAAATTAAAAGGTAACACAGTACGTAAAACACGATAGTTTTATCTATTAAAATTTCTAAATTAAATAAAATTGTTAACACAGTCTGTAAGACGATATAAAGTTCATAGAGAGTTCTCGCGTACGTTACGTTGTGGGGTATGGGGCGAATACATATTTTACTTTATTGATTTTATTAACAGGTAAGTAGTTTGGTTTGAAAGTCTGTACCTTGCCCGAAAAATTGTTTCACTGGCTTAGAACCCAGAGCCATGTTTAAATGACAAAGCATATAAGGAAAATAAATTTACGCGAGTAATACAAATTTAAAAAAAATATTTCTACATGCACAGGTTGCCTGGAAGAAATCGCTAAAGGCGATAAGGCCTTTGCACAAACATGTTTCATTTGTATTTATAATTCTAAGTATCTATGCTCTAATGTTTGTGCAATAAAGAGTTTTTATTATTATTATTAATAAAACACTTTAACTTCTTAAAACGCGATATATATTAGTTAAACTTATTTGAAAATTATTTCAACTACGGCCCGACGTTTCCCCGTGACTGCTGCAAAGCATCCGTAACGTCGGGCTGTTGTTAAAATATTTTTCAAATTAGGTTAGCTAAACTGTTAAAGTGTTTTATTAAAAAAAATGTTGTTGCAAGTTACCCAAGTAAGGATTTTAACATCATAGCTATGAGTACTCAAAACACTAAGGTTTGTAAATGAACTTTAAGAAACTTGTATTCACTTGCAACTTGTTTGGAGTTTTATCAAACACAGCGATCGATCATTTATTTTTCAGACCTAAGTGGAAAGGTAATGTTTCCATTACAGAAGTACTAAGGCAACAGAGATCGCAAGAAGTGAATTGTAACAAGAAATTAACAGCACAACCGGAAACAATACTAGACCCGACGCCAGCCTCCTAACAATAGTAAATAAAACTCCCCAATACGATCGGCCATTACCACAAATAAGACCAAATTGACGTGACATATCGTCCCGCGGGACGCTGTGGAACTAAAAATATCGTACGACATTTACCTTTGTTTAGAGCGGACTAAATCGGGCCGGCCTCTCGCCTCCGGCCAATAAATCGCGCGAGGAATCTCTCTTCCCGCCACACTTGCTCGTCTTCTTGTGTTCGTTGCCATCGGAGCGATGGATTCGTTCGGCTTCTCACATTCCGATGTGCAAGACGCGAGTCTTATGGGAACTCACAGAGAGACTAGAGTATAATAAGCAATAGGAAGTCGTGGTAACGCTGTGAAATTTCGTAACAATTATTATAATCTGTGCTCTATGCACCGTTTTGGCAGGAAGGTGTATATCTGTGGCTGAAGTATCTATCGTTTATAAGGTCACAAGTAAACTATTTTATTTTAAATACATTAGCTGAGACAAACTCAAAGCAAATTCAGGAATTGTTCTAATTACCTGCCCGCTAATTACCGTGAGAAAACAGAAATATGCCCCTATCTTACCTCTGAGATTCGTTCGTTTTATTTGCAAAAAGGTCCAAGAGATTTGAGAATTTGTCGGTTCCTGTTTTTTTTTACAGGGGCCTTTTTACACACTACGAAATATAGTGACGACCAGGGAAAAATAAACATTATAAAATAAATACGATCGTTTGTTTACAATGTGTCATCACCAGGAACATGTAAAAATGTAACGATGTTGAAACAAAACACTTTAACGGTTTAAAACACGATATATTAGTTAAACTTATTTCGGAAGTTAAAAATCATTTTTGAAATAAGTTTAACTATTATATCGCGTTTTAAACCGTTAAAGTGTTTTATTTAAATATTGTGTACTACTCAAGTAAACTATAGACAGTAAGTATTTATGTAACGATGTATTAATAAATACGATAGATATGTAATTGCATGGGAAATCATATTTTAAATATTTCTTTTGAATTAAAAATATTAACTTAACAAACAATTAAGAAAAAAATACTTTTGACAAAGAACACGAAAAAAAGTACCTACTAAAATTAATGTTTTTTTTTTATTATTTGTAATCAAATAAAGTAAGTAAAATAGAATACAAAAAGGCTAACTAATTGAGCCAGAAAAATTTGATTAAGGATTATCAAAGAGATATTGGAGGCAAAGATCTCTCTAATAACCATTACTGCAACCAAACAGACTAAAATATTTTTCATTTATATTGAAAGAGCATTAAAATCACCTTACTTAGGTAATCAATGTTACAAATATCATTTGACTATAGTCGGGACGAAGTATCAACTAGCAATAGGCTAAGGGCACACATGTGTGGCCGTTAGACGTGTGCTACGTGATCTTTCACGTGGATTAACCTAAGCATTATCCACTCTTAAGTTCCCTATACAGACATTTACATCCGACGATACGGTCACGATACGATTTTGGCTTTTGATTCATAAAGTATTAATTTATTAGGAATATACATTACCGAATTTAATAATCTGTTTTTCTCGTTATTATAGTAGTTATACTTATATATAGTTCCTGATTAGTAATATAAATTCATATTGAAAATTTACACGACTTAAAGATATCAAAAGCCTTTTTTCTTTATATTATTTTTGTGGGAAACCACACTTTGGTACTGGCGAGAATTTCAAAGATAAACGTATGTATAGGAATGTAAGTTATGTTATAGGTAACTCGGGCCGAGGTAAAAACTTTTCAAATAAGTTTAACTAATATATCGCTTTTAACCGTTACAGTGTTATCAAATGAGTGGGCGATTGAAATTCTAGTAAAAGAAAAAGTCGTAAGATATAAAATCGTATATAACCATTAGTCAGAACGACACAATGTCTCTGCAACAAAAACAGTGCCTTTCTAGCACAGACGGTCACACAGCTAATACCCTTGTTTATACAACACTCGACACCCCGACGCTGCTTAACACGGGATTAACACGTATTTTGTGGAATTAACGTAATACTTTCTATTTTCACCTTTCACTGGAGGGCTTTGAATTCCAAAGTGGTTTCGGCGACTATTATTGTATCTCGGAACTTGCTCATAGTTGCCATAGTAGAATGGTTATCGCTAATTACTATCCTAAGTAAATCTAAGTTTGTAGCCTAGAGTATTAGTACAGACAAGAATTTTATATAAATTGGTACATTATGTGTATCCTACAATTCATTTATTCCTGGTACACAAAGCTTATAAAAATCGGGACTTTCACATAAAAATATCCTATTTGTTTTCCATTAATTTATTGTTTTATTCGAACAATTTCTTAACGAGTAGTAATCATTTTTAATTTCGTTAGTTACTTATTTGAAAATGATTTTTTTCTTCGGCCCGACGTTTCGGACGCTTTGCAGCAGCCACGTTCAAAAATAAGTTTAACTAATATATCGCCTTTTAAACCGTTAAAGTGTTTTATTTAAATGGTATTCGCGTAAACAAACTATAGACAGTATTTGAGTAAATAATCAATCCTGCAATTCATTTATTCCTAGTAGATTGAACGCACAAAAATTGGGTCTTCCGTCTTGGTTGAACCTATTTGTTTCTCTTAATTAAAATTAGCCATAAAAAGCTTGTTCGGCTTGTGTAGGCAAAGTAATAAATATTTTTTTTATTCCATTCTAATATTGCGATAATGCGGAAACTTTGTGTAATTGTTGTCATATTATGTGGCCTTGGTGTTTGTTAGTCATACCTTATAACTTTGTCTTTGTTGCATTCTTGAGGATAGGTGGGATACCAAAATCTCACGAAAGCCGCCTTATGGCGGGAGCCAATATGGCTCAGATAGCATAGTTTTAAGGGCAGAGATCTTGGGTTTGAGTTCCAGTAAAAAAGACAAACATGTGGGACGAAATTTAGTATGTAAGGTAACAAAGTTTCCTTAACATGATAAACATTGAATAAAATACATAAACAAAGTCACACAGCTTATTTATTATTTGCTAAAACCCAATCTCCTCATGTTAATTCCCCGTAACCAAAGCTGGTGACCAAGTATTGGCACACAAAATGCATATAGGCCGCTTCTGTATCTAAATAGTTAAACAATAGAATTGGGCTAAGCGCGAGAAGTTCTAGGTTTACATTCCGAGATTGTTTCGGTCGGGCTGGGCCCAGAAATCTGATCAAATTCTTTTAATTTTTCATTTATTTTTTTTCGATCAAAATAATATGTTCCTATATATTCAATAGTGTTACTTCTTAGTCTTTAACAATATAAAATCGTTTATTTTAGAAGAAATGCAATAGTACTTTGAAGATGGCGAATCGAGATTACCTACACAGTTAAGATTTCAATAGTAATGCCCAGAGCGTTAACACCTAAGTCAAAGGAGAAGTAAGGAATTCTATAAAATGGCAATAGTGAACTAAATAAAAAAACAAAGATGTCAGTAAGTTAAACTAATTTATTGGTTTAACTCTCTTTATTTTAAAAACCAGTTTTTTGTACTTGTCGTTTTGTATCTCTACTGTCATTATGACTCTGTGGACATCGGCAGCGCCCGATCGGCCGATAGCGGCATTGTATTATTCTTGGTGTCGCAGACGTGTTAATCGGCCTCTCACGATATTATCGCGACTTTTCCTTCGCAATGAAAGCAATAAAAAGCTTCGGATAAAGTTAAAAAGTTCTTAGACAATGAGAATGTCTCTGAAGGAGTTCCTTAATCCTTATGTATTTACATAAACAAGCTAGTTGTGTAGTCTGTATGTCCGTGTTATGACACCTATAGGTTTCTTTTTGCTGGAAGACGAAATACCCCAGTCATGGCCTGAACTTTATGTGTTTCAGCTTCAAAGTCTATTAACTCGCGTCCTATAACATCACTAAGAATAAGTATATGCGTTTTACAGCGCGTTTGCGCTGATCTTTATCACTAAGTACTAGAATATGAATTTATTCATCAAAGGGTTTTTAGTTCTGAATGTCCAAAGGCAATAAAATTAAAATATTTTTAAACTAAAAACATTAATATTTTTCACGTGTTATTGCACATGAAGGCACTATATAATTTAAAAAATCGAAATTTCAATTATCGAAAAAACAAAAAATATTTTTAAACTTTTATTTATAGCAGAAGTAAGTCACCCACCATCAAGTGGGAACCACACATCCGTCGTCGTCTCTCATAAAAATCACCAAATTGTCCACGTTATAATGTTAGTAGTGTAAAGATTTACCGTTTGTCCGATAAGCACCGGCCTATATCTCACGCAGATGTCAGGAACATCCAAACAGATGTAATAAAGCGACGAAGAAAAAGCCACAAAGCGCGCCGGCGTGTCACCTCAGTAATATATTGAGGGAAAATATCTGTGTTATAACGCATCTTAATGAGATTTCGAGTAATTAGGTCGAGAAGGAATCCGGAACCGAGCTAGGGGTTGAAACACGTGTGCGAGATTTGCTATCGATCATAATATTAGGCTGTATATGCTCGAGCCGTGGGGCCAACAAAAATATAACTTTATTTGACAGCAAGGACATGTAAGCGTGGGATTCACCTTATGTAGGTAAACAAGGTGCGCTATCGACCTATTATGCCTTTAGACGTTTACAAATCCAGATAACCAAATTGCGATTATATATTTTGGCTTTTTTATATTTTGTGGATGGTGGTAAGAACCATTTTTCATCATCATGAAATCGAAATCCTAGTCAGGATTGAACCTCGGACCTCTTTATTACCATTTATATCACCGGACCAATGAGCCCGAGGAAACATAGTTTCCTGTTCAAATGTTCTTAAATACGACGCATATGCTATCTAGGAGAGCAGCGTAACATTTCTTATTTCCTAGTACATAGGCTGCCTTAATTTTTTATCAAGCAGTTATCATTACTCCCAATGCCGTGGCCAAGGGTGTGTTTGCGGTTTGCTTCAGATATCACAAGAGGCGCTAATTAGTTTATAGATTTAAATGGCTTGTTTGTTAAATTTGGGAAGATTTCATTTATGGAATAGGATGACTGTGTTTATTATATAAATGGATGTCTAAATTACTGCATCTAAAGCTATAATAATACTACTAAGCACAGACTACAGCACTGTTAATTCCAATTTCTAATAATAGTAATCCGGTCTTGGATTCGATCCCCAATGGGATCAACATTTTTCCAATCTATTTATAATTTTACTAAAACACTTTTAATTAAAATAATATTATACAAATATTTTCGACCGTGTTGGTTGAGTGGTAGCTATCTAGAGTAGATCTCATAATCAAACCATCCAACCAAGCCGATTCCAACAGATTGGTC